TATATATATATATATATATATATATATATATATATATATTTAAAAAGCAGAATATAAAAGAGAAGGAGAAATGAGGAAAGGAAGGGGTAAAAGGAAAGGGTGTAGAATTCTCTGAGTATATGTCCAAAAGCCGTATAGCTGAGGTTGAAGAAAATCTATTCCCAACTTCCCAGGGAACTGCCACACTTCTCTCTTCAGTGGCTGCACAAGTTTGCACTCCCACCACAGTGGGTGAGTTTTCCCCTTTCCCCACATTTTTGCCAGCATGCGCTGTCACGGATTTTTTGATCTTGACCATTCAGACTGGTATGAGATGAAATTTCAACAGCGTTTTGATTTGTACTTCTCTGATGACTAAGGAATGGAGCTGGATGGGTGGGGAAATGGGGGATATCTGGAAGGAGATATGAGAAAGAAACCACGGTCAGCACTCATGGAGATGGCCTAGAACCCCTGCACAGATGCAGTCCATGGCAGTTCAGTGTTCAAGTGGGTGGGATCGACTGTTCCCATCCTACAGTGATGGGAACAGGGACTGTCTCTGACATGAACTGACTGGCCTGCTCTTTGATCACCTCCCCCTGAGGGGGGAGCAGCCTTACCAGGCCACAGAGGAAGACAATGCAGCTAGTACTGATGAGACCTGATAGACTAAGATCAGAGGGAAGGGGAGGAGGATCTCACCTATCAGTGGACTGGGGGAGGGGCACAGGTGAGGAAGAGGGAGGGTGGGTGAGATTGGGAGGAGGGAGGAAGCTACAAGGGGGATACAAAGTGAATAAACTGTAATTAATAAAAATTTTAAAAAGATAAAAAAAAAGAAAAACAACAGAGCCAACTAACTAGGGCCCAAAGGGGTTTGCTGAGAGTGAAGCATCAACCAAGGACCATTCATGAACTGGACATAGGTCCCCTACAAAGATATAGCAAGTGGGCAGCTTAGGCTTCAAATTGGTCCTCTAGTAAAGGAAGTGGGACTGCATCGGACACAGACTCACTTGCCAGTCCACAGGGGAGGAGGACATGCTCATCCTGATGCAACTTGATGAGATGGAGTGGATGGGAAAGGGAACTCCTCTGTTTGGAGGAAAAGGGGAGGGGGGATAGGGAGGGAGAAATGGTGAGCCTGGGAGGGGAGGAGGTAAGGGGATGTAAAGTGAATAAATTAATGAGAAAAAATTAATTTTTTTTAAAAAGAAAAAAAAAGAGAAGAAACCAGTCAGAATATAATGTATGGGCTTTCAATTTAGAGAAACAAAAAAGAGAGAAGCAAAGGGAAAAGGAAAGAAGGAAAGAACTGGAATAAATGGATTGAAAGGAAAAAGTGAAAAACAGGGAGGAATCAAAGGATGGGAGAGGTTAGAAGGAAAATCCAAAGAAAGTGGAAAGAAAAGAGAAACAGGACGATGTATGAAATGTATGAAAACCATCACCCAGATAAATCAAAATGCATATGTGCACACTGTTTTAAAATCCTATGTACCAATTCATGTTAATAACATACTTCCTTAGTATTTAGACCAAAATTCAAAAATAAAATTCACATGTCAATGCAGTTTCTGTAATCGTGGTTTCTAACTGTTGTTTGGGGAGGGGTCTCAGAAATACTTCTGTGGAACTGACCTGTGATTCACCTGGGGGACGTATAGCTGCTTTGCCTCCACCTTCAACACCAGAAACTCTATACTTCCCTCCTAACAACATTAGGCAATCTACTGATGAAAAAAGTTTTGAGGAGTGAACTACAAATGTTCCTTGTTCCTCGTTCCTCGTAAATTCCACTCAGTGGATCCAGTGGCTCTGAAAGCAACTGAAAAAAACTTACGCTGTTCCATGGCCCAACTCAAATACCAAAAGAGTACTGATGGCTTCTTTGCCATCAGCCTCAGACAAACATTACTTTGTTCATTACCACTGCCTGGATTTCCACCCACCCAGCCACTAGTCTGCTGTCAGTCTGTAAACTGGTTCCCACTCGTTTATAAGTGATTTGTACAGTTAAATTACACTTAATAACAGCATTGTTATTAGAAATTGAGACTGTATTCTTTGGAAGAGACATATTTTAAGAAATAGAAAAATATAAGATGGGATGGCATGCATGTGGCATAAAATTCTCCACATGAAATCAAACCATGAGATCTTTAATCCCATAGATTAACATCCTCAGAAACTCGGGCTGTTTATAAGCTCCAAGATTCCAACCACATCCTCTCTGGAAACTGCTTACATGGTTAGCATTAATATGATGCAGCGTAGTTGAGAAAAGGCTACCGAGATGTTCACTTTCTACTTCCAACCAATCCGCTGCAACTTTGGAAAATAAAAAGAAGTCTTGCAGAGCAACATCTAAAGGGTCACAGAAGAGCATAATTATAGTCAAAGGAAAAGAAGAAGCAGCCCAACGGGGCTAAAACGGTGAGGAAATTTAAAGATGATGATGCACTAGAAACTACAAGAGGAGGCGAGGGTAGAGACTTTGGGGGAGAGCAAACGCAAAGCACACTCGTGGGAGTTATCGCTACACGCTGCCCATTCCCGACCCACCTGCAATCAGGCTGCACCTTGACCGTTTGTCAAATAGCTCAGTATTGAAATGGATGCCTGAATTATTCCCCATGTGTTTTTAGTAATAATAGTGAATTTAAGTACAATAGCTGTAAGCATTTTGTTTCACCGAATAACTTTTCATGTCTATTTCCTTTACCCAAAGGGTTTGATCCATGGATCGCTCCAGCTGAACTCTGGGCTTGTTTATGTAGTTTCCCTACAATGTCAGAATTACAGGGTCTCCCTTCCTCCATATTTTGATTCTTCTCCTAACGGCAACTGCACATGACACTACACAACTTGTGGCAATCAAAGAGATGAAATCTGCCCCCTAACAGTTGTACACCAAACCATCTCTGCTGCCTCATTCATTCCATGAAGGATAATAACCATATTGGAGTAAGTAATTTCAGTGACCCACGAAAGGCAAGATTAAAAAAAAAAACAATAAAACAAAAAAACAACAACAACAACAACAACAACAAAAAACTAAGTGCATTTGTAATCCTCTAAGGAATGATTTCATAGTCTGGAATGCCCTTCAAAGTGGTATTCAAATAATGTACTAAGGCTTTGTGTCTGTGGGGTTGGGGTTGAAAGGCCAAATAAAAGGACATATACATATAACTGCTTAGCAAATAAAGAAAAGTTAAGACCAGCAGACATGAGAAATTTACTTAAACACAAAAATGATTCCTTTCTTCCCATTTCCACAATCTCAATCTCAACTTTTATTCCCAATAGAGGCTTCTCAGTTTGGCCAATCACAGTGGAAGGGACTTCCACACATTTTGAAAATGGAGTACTCTCTAAACCACTTGAATTTTTAACATTGGTGCAAAGTGCTTCCCAACAACCTCCAAAAGAGCAGGCTCAATGCAGTGCTTCTGATTCACTACGAGTGCAAAACAAAGGCTTTAATTTGGGTGATCTGCCCTTACTATATACGCTTTAATTATACACATTATAATTAACATTGGCACACTGCCATCTTTTAAAAGAAATCAAATTACATATGTGTGAAACCTGACATATATAACTGGATTCTTTATAGAACTCACTCTGCACACATTACTACTGAAACCTGGCTTACTTTGAAAAGTAAGCCTAGTTTTGTAGCTGTCCACCCATGATTTTCAGATAAAAACCTTAAACTCATCTTTATAATCTTGAAATTTGGTAGGTATAGAAAAGAAAGGTCAATGGCAACCTAGGAGCATTTTAAACATTGCCCTATAGGCTTTCTGATTCATTAGAATACTCAACAATAAGAAGTTGAACTCATGAAAACTTGGCCAAAGCTAACTTAGAAAAGACAATTTTGAGTCAGTCATAAGCAGAAACTAGTAAAAAACATGGCAGAAATCATACAGACTTAAAGCATCACGATTTGTAAAATTCCCTTGTCATGCTTGATGTAGAAATAGGATTATTCATACAGTACTATTTCATTGTGCCCTTCCCCTTAATTCTTGCTTGCATTTTTAATGCTGCACCAGTGGGTGGATGGGGAAACCCTTGTGGAGGAAAAGC